CACACCTTCCCTTTCCCCTTCTGTTAGAGGATGTCCAATTGCCTACGGATGGGCTTTGAGTCTCCACTCTGCACTTTCCCTCATTCACAATGATGTTATTTTGTTCTGGATCTTTGATGCCCGATTCCTGTTTCCACTGACACCTCATGATCACACAGGTTGGTGTGCTTCTTCCATGTGGGCTTTGTTGCTCCTCAGCTAGATGGCCACTTGTTTATCTTCAAGCCTTTAAGATCCCAGATGCTATATCTTTTGATAGCCGGACACCAATTCACACTGGTAATTAATACTAAGTTTGCTGCCTACAACAAGTCTTTCCAACCTGTTTTGCTACCAAGAATATGACATTTAACTGTTTGATTAGTTCATTTTAATACAAGTACTAGTTTTTTGTTTTGTTTTTCACACTAGAAAACAAGCTTTGGGGATTTAAACCATTTTTTTAATCTGCTATGAGTCACTTAGCAATTACTTACTGAAAGCCTACTATTTACCATCTTTAATGCTAGGACATTATACCTATGGAAGCTTACTTGTTAATGAATTACCTAAGACTAATCTTATAGCTACTCATCTAGTGAGTTACACTTGTATCTAAGTCACTGTATTTCAACTAAAACGATATAACCTGTCAAGTTGAAATATACTGAATGTCCTCAAATTTCCTTCTATTTTCAGATTGGTTTTTTTGCCCTGAGATTTTAGTATTGCAAACGCTTTCAATTCTGCTTTGTTTGGTCATATTAAAATAAGGTAGGTAGCAGTGAGTAAATGCCAAACTTACCCCTTTCATCCAATAGGAGATTTTCTGGCTTAATATCCCTGTGGGTTATTCCAATACCATGGAGATAAACCTGAGGGGAAGCAAAGGGGGTGACACACCAGTATTTGTTAACGTACTTCATTTGTAGTTTTAAATAAAAGTCAGTGTCGATTGTACCTACCACCCCTGCCATTAGTTGATGGAAGAACCTCTGAGCATCTTGTTCTGGCATACCTATGTCTGGCTCTGTAAGAATTATAAAAGTAAGCTTACCATAAATATAGTCAAAGCAGGAACCACAGTCAATTCTTAGTTTCAAGCATATGTGTTTGTCATTGTACTTTAGAAAAGGGAAGCTTAGCAGTTGACTCAGGAGACAATTGGTACTTAGTAGCTCACATTTTATATGGTACTTAGTAGCTCACATTTTTCCTATCTGTGATATGGCAAACACAAATTAATGTATCTCAAGTAAATTGCAGAGCTATTGACATATAAAGAATGGCTAGCTCTTATAAC